TACGAATCTCTTCGCTGTTGGGAACGCACAGGCGGTCAAACACATTAGTCTTCTCAAACAGCAACCCATCTGTAGTGCGGTAATCTGGTTCGGTCTCTGGGGTCTCTCTAACTCTCTTTAGGAGGTCTCTGGTCCAGATAATGTACTACGGCTCCAAAGTAGTCTGATCTCCTACTTAGAGCATCTGCCACTACATTGTACTTGCCCTTCACTGGCTTGAGCTCAAAGTTTAATTGGTCTATCTCTGCGGACCACCTAGTCAACTTAGGTGTCATCTTGGCCTGGGTCTTTAGCCAACGAAGTGTCTCATGGTCAAAATACACTTTGAAGTGCCTCCCAAGCAGATAGTGCTTCCAATGGTCTAAAGCCTGCCTGAGAGCGTAGAGTTCTCTCTCGTACGTGGAGGTAGCGACCTTCTCACAGGGCATCCTCGCTGACATGAGCTCTACGGGTCTATAGCCATTGCCGTTGTCTTGCTGCAACACGGCGCCTATCCCATACTGACTTGCGTCCGTGGTAACGACAAATGGCAAGGACGGATCCGCTACTTTGAGGACAGGATATTCTATTAACGCGCGCTTTAACTTTTTTAGCGCAGACGTACAGTCTTTATCCCATTGCCAGATTGTCTCTTTCTTCAACAACCTGCGCAAGGGAGCGGAGATAGTGGAGAAGTTCCTCACGAACTTCCTGTAGTAGTTAGCTAGGCCTAGGAACGACCGCAACTCTGTCAACGTGCGGGGCGTCGGCCAATCTCTAATCGCCGCTATCTTGCTGTCCTCTGGCTTAATGCCATCTCCGTCCAACACGTGGCCCAAGTACAAGACTTGCGTCTTGGCCCACTCGCACTTCTTCGCAGTGATCTTGCAGTTAGCCTCTCTAAGCTTCTCCAAGACCTGCCTCAGATGACCCTGGTGCTCCTGGAGGGTCTTACTAAAAACTAGGATATCATCTAAGTAGACTACCACAAATTTATCTAACCACGGTCTAAACAGGTCATTCATGCAATGCTGAAAAGTGGCTGGCGCGTTGGTCAGTCCAAAGGGCATCACTATAAACTCATAATGCACATATCTAGTCCGGAATGCAGTCTTGTACTGATCATCAGGATGGACATCTATCTGATGGTATCCGGACTTCAAGTCTATCTTAGAGAAATACTTACAACCTTGCACCCGATATAAAAGATCGTCTATCCTGGGCAGCGGCTCAGCATTCTTCACGGTGATCGCATTCAAACCCCTATAGTCTATACACATTCTCAGCTCTCCTTCCTTCTTGGGGACAAACAAAACGGGTGCTCCAAAAGGAGACGAACTGGGCCTGATCCAACCTTTCYCAAGGAKTTYGTCTAACTGCTTGCGAAACTCCTCTAACTCTCTAGGGGACATCCTGTAGACTGCACCCTTAGGAGTTCTACTGCCAGGCTCTATCTCTATCCTATGCTAGATGGGTCGCGACAGTACTCCTACCGGCGACTCAGTCAAGTCTTTTAATTCTTCCAGCAGCTTGGCAATTGTTGGATCTGTGGAACTATCCTTTTTCTGGGCCTCAGTGACAGGCCTAACATAAACTACAAAGACGTGTTCCTCTAACTGCTCCTTTTTGACTAATCGCGCGAACGCGGGAGCACTGAGACAGCAATGTGCCAAGGTGTTATCTACACCAGACACATGGAACAAGCGGGCAGTCTTAACCTCGCCTGACGGACTAGGGAGCCTACACTCATGCTCTCTCAAATGAAGTGTAGCCCCTGCTGCCTCTCTCCAATCCATTCCTAACACTATATCGAAAGGAAGGTCATCCTACACGAGGAGAGTCAGGGAATGGAGAACTTTCTCCACCTTCCCATCCTTCTCTAGGCGAAAGTAAGCCTGGACTCCCTCTACGTAGTCCTCAACTCGCATTGTGCGGTTGTCTGCGAGGACACTGACTATGGGGTCTACTAACTTTTGGACTTTTAGTCCTAGCCTTAGCTTCTTCAGCGCCCTACGGCTGATGTAACTACGGGTAGCCCCTGAGTCTATAAGGGCCCCTACTCTACTTCTAAATACCTCTACATCTACCAAAATCCGTTGTCCCTTACTCTCCCTTTTCATTTTGGCCCAGGCTGGCATCCTCTCCTTTAACTCTTCTGCCACACCTGTGAGGGACGTGCCTAAAGAGACGCTAACACAAGCAGTCTCTGGACAGCTACCTAGGCACGGGCCTGCAACCTCTGCCATAGGCTCATGTGGGTTGGGAGTGTCCTGTTCGCGCGCGTTCACTTCTCCACATGGCCTGGAAGTAGAGGCAGTTGCGACCCCTACTGGCGGCTGCCTTTTGCCTGCTGAGCAGCCCAACGGGCCTGTCTATACTTTGGACAAAATTTAATTACGTGCGCCGGGTCACCACAGAATACGCACTGACCCAGGTTCACGCGTTCCTGCCATAAGCGCTGGTCCAAGCCCAGATCTTCCCAGGGCCTGCCCTGCGGCAAGCCTGGGTGCCATCCTCCTTGAGGTGCCCTTCCACCTCCTCGTTGTAGAGACCGGTTACCCTGGCGATTTAACGGGGGACCTTGACCCCTACCTCCCGCTTGGCGGTTTCCCTGTCCGCCAACCCCCTGTGCGCCCAGTCCTCGGCATCCCATGGCCTGGCCCCTTTGGCCCTGGCCTCCTCCTCTACCTTGCGGCCTCCCTCCGGCCGCGACAGCAGCATAAGACCTCCCCTGCCCTACACAACTGTGCTCCTCCCCTAGGCCCCACTCAATCTGATCATATGGGACCTCTTTTGTACCACCCTCCTCTAATGTCTGGATCAAGTGATCCTTGGCCTTGACTTGGCCCGAGATGGTACGATCTTTCCACTTCTTCCCCTTCTCCAGGTCCTTATGCCAGAAASTGGTAACTGGCATAGACTTYGACTCATACAGGACKRCTTCTCTACTCAATACATCGTAAGTCATGCCGGCCTGCTGAGATTTGTCAAAGAAATGCCCGCGTAGGGCCTCTGGAATGGCACGATAAAACAACAAGACCAGCTAGGGCTCAGTGACCCCGTGGTCCGGGACAGCTACCAAGTCGTCCATAGTACCCTTCAGTGCCTTAGCACTCCTCCACTGCCCGGAGTGGATCGTTTGGAGCTTATCAGAGACTCTAATGCCTCGCGTTGGGTCAGCGAACCGCTCCTTGAGGAGCTTGAGGAATTGGGAAAGAGGAGTGACTTTGGAATATGCAACCAGGTTGTTTTCACAACCGGCTGTACGCGCGAGAGACCTGGCGAAGCTAGCCGCTTCGTCCTTCAGGGCYTGGAAGGCCACGAGGACTTGCTCCTCTATCAGGATATGCTGTAAGTAAATGTAACTAATGACACTGGCCTCCCAGTTGCCAAAGTTCTCGTCCTTCTTTCCCCCGTACGCGTCTGGGAACTTAAGTTTCATTGGGTCCTTACGGGGTCTGCCCTCTCCTTCAACAGCGGCTGCAGCTTTGGCACCCTGAATGGCGCCCTCAAAAAACTTCCCTACATTGTCTCTCAACTGTTTGACTTCGCCCCCAAAGTGGGTGATGATTTCGCGCGCAAAATCCCTAAACCCGGACCGCATGGCACTCAACGCTACATCCTGGCTCCAGCTTGCCTGGCGCTCCTCCATCTAGGCCTTGCTCAACACCTCTAGATAGCCCAGTACTTTGTCCCACTTGTCCTTATCATCTGGCTGGGCCAGCACCTCCGCTCTACACTCCTACACCTTCGCCACTGCTGCGGTCATCTTATTCACTTCCTCTCTCCTCCTCTTCTTCTCCCTCTTCATTCTYAACTTCCATGCTAACTTTTGCTCGTCTTCCCTCTCTCTTCGTTCCATTGGGTCTGTCATGGCTGCTAGCTCAGCGGCCAGCGCAGCCTTCTCATCCTTAGTCACATAGGACTCCGCCTCCTCATCTTCCCCCAACGATAAATTAACGACCCACTCGCTGATCTTCTTCTCCAGCTCAGTGTCTGTCTCCCTCTTCATCGTGCCACCACTGCTCCCTTCTCCACTCTCGATTCTCATTCTCTCTTTCTCTTCTTCTGCTGCCGCTTCTGCTTCAGCAGCTTTTCTTTTTTCTTCCTCCTCTTGTTGCACTCTCTTCATCTCCTCCTCCAACCTCTTCATCTTCGCCGCCTGCTCATCTGCGATAGCCTTTAGCTTCGCCTGCTTCTCGCGCTCTCTTCTCTCCTTATTCTCATTCACTAAGGCGGCCATCTTTGCTTGCTGCTCAGGGGTGTAGGGACTAGTCTCCGTCCCACTACGGGTCTCAACCATGGTGATAAGTGTACAACCGGGTTAGTGGTTCCAAACCTCACCACGTAGACTCTGACCCCTGACTGACAAACCTATTGACTCAATCTAATGACTCACAGAATCCTCACAGGGATCCTGCCAACTAGGATCTCTAGCCTAGACCTATACTATGGCTGTCACAACTGAGCCAGTGGCTGATCAGGAGGCATTTAAGGAGATCCCCCGTAACTCCTCAASAATTCTTTAACGTCGCAGACAGGACGACGTGATCAGCTTGGCTCCGCCTGTGCTTTCATCCCACAACTCAGCCTTTCCGGCCTATTGTGCCACACCGAGCAGCCCGCCGGTCTGTACCGGTCCTTGGGAGGGTTCGTATCCCCCGGGACAGTCGAGTCGTCAGACACAGATCATCAGCCTTACTTGGTCTAGTAGGGGAGTGGTTCCAACAGGCCCTCAACACTTAAAGACGGCCTCCGTTTCAGCCTGCAGCTCRGAGTTCGGACCCTCTACACTGAAACTGAGCAGACCTGCCGGACAGTACCGGTCATTGGGCTAGACGAGTTGTTTAAAGAGCGCTCGCCGCTCATGCCAGGTCTCCAGATACCAGAGTAGAGATTGGTCCTACTAAGTCCCGTGCAGGTTTGGCAGCAAGGCCCTATCCTTCATCCACAGAGTTCTATGACCTAGGACAGAAGAGACTCAATGCAGAAGGAATAAACAGACAGACTGTACTCADCAAGTACCAAGGGGTATGTGCACATCCATAGGGCAAGGGGTAGGCTAAGGGCTTGGCGAGATGTTACCAACTCCAGCTTGGTCAAAGTCTTGGTCAACGCCTTGGTCAACACCGGTCAACGCTGCTGTGACCCTTGGTCAACCCCGATCAACTTCGGTCAACGCTTCCAGTCAACCCTCTAGGTCAACTCCCCGGTCAGCTATGGCTGCCGGCACTTCTTCCTCGCCAATCCCCTTCTTCTTCCTTACCTCCCTCGCCTCCTCTCTCCCGCTGTCTTCTTCTTTCTCTTTCTTTTTTTTTTTTTCTTTTTTTTTGTCGGCCTCCTCTTCACCTCCTAGCTATGGCCGCTTCTCTCCCTTCTCGGTCTCTCCACCTCTGTCCTTCTCCCTCCTACTTCGTCACTCCGTGGTACCGGCTCTGCGGCTATGGCCGCTGTCTTTCTTCTTCGTGGACTGCGCGGCAACTTCACAGGTACGTAACAGCCAATCTTGTATCGCTCATCTCTCTCTCTCTCTCTCTCTCTCAGTCTTCTTCTTCGTCGTGTCTTCTTGCAGGTCCGCGGCGGCTTCTTCAACCTCAGGTCCGCTATGGCGGACTATCTCCCTCGGCTGCCACCTCGGCTATGGCGCATCAGGCCCTGCATACGACGACGCGCATGGAATAGCGGGTACCAGCTCCGATACAAATGCAATCAGACTCGTTCTCAAACACACTCTTCATGCATGTAAACAGCAACGCA